CACCACCACCACCATGTCCTTGGTGTCACCACCACCATGTCCTTGGTGCCACCACCACCATGTCCCTGTCACCACCACCACCACCACATCCTTGGTGCCACCACCACCATGTCCTTGGTGCCCCCACCACCATGTCCCTGTCACCACCACCACCACCCCGTGCCAGCGCCACCACCGTGCCCGTGGTGCCACCGGCCGCCGTGTCCACAGGGCCCGCCTCATGCAGAGCTTCAAGGAGTCGCACTCGCACGAGTCGCTGCTGAGCCCCAGCAGCGCCGCCGAGGCCCTGGAGCTCAACCTGGACGAGGACTCCGTCATCAAGGCCGTGCACAGCAGCATCCTGGGCCAGGAGTTCTGCTTCGAGGTGGGACCCCAGCCCACGTGGCCGTGGGCCGCCCCGGCGCTGCCGCGGGGCCGCGTCCAGAGCAGGAGGCGGGGTGGTTTGGATGCTTGGTTGGACATTGGCTGGATGGTTGGTTGGTTGGTTGGTTGGTTAGTTGGATGGTTGGTTGGTTGGTTGGTTAGTTGGACGGTTGGTTGGGTGGTTGGTTGCTTGGACGGTTGGTTGGTTGGTTCGATGGTTTGTTGGTTGGGTGGTCAGACAGTTGGTTGGACAGTTGGTTGGACAGTTAGTTGGGTGGTTGGTTGCTTGGGCAGTTGGTTGGACAGTTAGTTGGGTGGTTGGTTGCTTGGGCAGTTGGTTGGACAGTTAGTTGGGTGGTTGGTTGCTTGGGCAGTTGGTTGGACAGTTAGTTGGGTGGTTGGGTGGTTGGTGGGTCAGTTCGTTGGTTGATTGGTTGGATGGTTGGGTGGTTGGATGGGTGGTTGGACAGTTGTTGGGCAGTTGATTGGATGGTTGGGTGGTTGGTTGGTCAGTTGGTTGGATGGTTGGACATTCGGTTGGTTGGCTGATTGGACGGTTGGTTGGTTGGGTGGGTGGACAGTTCGTTGGTTTGTTGGTTGGGTGGGTGGGTGGCTGGACAGTCGGTTGGTTCGTTGGCTGGTTGGACAGTCGGTTGTATGGTTGGTTGAACAGATGGTTGGTTGGTTGGACGGTTGGTTGGATGGTTGATTGAACGGATGGTTGGTTGGACAGTTGGTCGGTTGGACAGGTGGTTGGTCGGTTGGATGGTTGGTCGGTTGGTTGGTTAGTCAGTTGGTCAGTTGGTTGATTGACTGGTCGGTCGGTTGATCATTTGGTCAGCTGGTTGACCAGTTGGTTGGCTGGTTGGTTGGTCGGTCAGTCAGTTAGTTGGTTGGTCAGTTGGCTGGTCAGTTGGTTGGTCAGTTGGTTGGTTGGTCAGTTGGCTGGTCAGTTGGTTGATCAGTTGGTTGGTCAGTTGGTTGGCTGGTTGGTTGGTTGGTTGGTCAGTCGGTTGATCATTTGGTCAGCTGGTTGATCAGATGGTTGGCTGGTTGGCTGGTCAGTCAGTCAGTTGGTCGGTCAGTTGGTTGGTCAGTTGGTCAGTCAGTCAGCTGGTTGGTCAGTCGGTCGGTTGGTCAGTTAGTCAGTTAGTTGGTTGGTCGGTCGGTTGGTTGGTCAGTTGGTTGGTTGGTCAGTTGGTTGGTCAGTTGGTCGGTCGGTCAGTCGGTCAGTTGGTCAGTCAATTGGTTGGTCTGTTGGTTGATCAGTTGGTCAGTCGGTTGGTCAGCTGGTCGGTCGGTTGGTTGGTTGGTCGGTTGGTCGGTTGGTCGGTTGGTTGGTCAGTCAGTTGGTTGGTCAGTTGGTTGGTCAGCTGGCCGGTCGGTTGGTTGGTTGGTCGGTTGGTCGGTTGATTGGTTGGTCAGTCGGTTGGTCAGCTGGTCGGTCAGTTGGTTGATCAATCAGTTGGTCGGTCAGTTGGTCAGTAGGTTGGTTGGTCAGTCAGTTGGTC